TTCCTGCTTGGTTTTGGATCCTTTCCAGAGATAAGGACTAGCAGTCAGATCAGATCACAAGTTAACCCTCTCAACAAGTAAGAAATGTCAAGATCAAATAAAAAGTCTATTAAAGTGTCACCATTGATTGTCTGTGACAGTATCCAGAGAGTGACCGGGGAGGCTGTACGGGCAGGAAACATGAGTGTGAAGAGAAATTTGGGTTATGACCATTCAGGTTGGTATACATCATGTAGGGCCTGGCACAGGCACTGATTTTTAGACCCAGTCTGTAGCTATTTCAGGGACCAGCTAATCTAGAAACTCACAAAAAGGGCAAAATTTCATGCAATATTCCAAATTAATGTGAAAGACATGATTGAGTATGTTCCTCTTGAAGAGCTACATGGGAGACACTGGAGTGCAGAAGTGCAGAGGAGATTGGCATAGCTGGATGGGTTGGCAAAGGATGGTGTAGAAACCCAAAAAACATCCTGGAAAAAAATGCTGATGTGATCCTGAGTGAGTGACTGACAACAAAAATAAATGAAATGAAATGCAGGTAATATAAAAAGATATTAATGAGGGAAAAGAAAAACAATTTATCTTTTCACATGACATGAGGTGCTCTGAGCTGGTATCAGCCAGTTAATATCACTATATACAGTCAGTGGTCAATTAGTCAATCAATTGGATCAGTCTAGTATCATGAAGATAGAGAGGTTACACCATATCATTCTATGAAAACATTGGTTCAACACTTAGCTGAAATAAAAAAAAAAAGTAGGTGAAGTGGTAGAAATTATTAGGAAAGGGCTAGAGACCATCATTACACTGCTAAGTATGAGGTCTTTATGCCCACTTCTGGGATGCACTGTGCAGTTGTTCCCCATCTGAAGAAAACCCATCTAATAGGAAATGTATGGTGAGAGGCAACAAGGAAAATCCACAATGTAGGGTCGCTTCATATAATGAGAAATTATATTTCCTAGGACTTTGGGCTGGAGAAGAGAGAGAAGAATGACAAAGGGAAGCAGGAGAAGGGAAATTTTGGAATTTTCCTCTTTTCACCACCACCACCACATCTCTCTGTTATGCTATTTCAGTCACTTTTTAAACTTCTGCAAGGTTTGTGTGTCTCACCAGAGCTGATGTAGATACTTCGGACACTGATCTGTACCCAGACAGCACCTTCTGTCCTTAGACTTTACAATAGGAAGAATTCTGGGGTTTTTATTGCAAGTGGATGTTTATAGAGCAAAATACATCAAATAAGCAGTATTAGTTTCTCCTAAATCCCAAGCATTGTCCTGATTTGACAACTGTATGTGGGTAGCTTGGGGAGAACCATATAGTAAAGGAGGATTTATGGGGAGCAGACAATGTTAGCAGCTTGCTTTGCTTCTTAACACCAGAACCCCTGAGAAGAGACTGACTTCTGTATGTTTGAACAATAATTTAGGGAAATAACCATGTTACTCTCTTTGGGTTTTAGCAGAAGAGGTTTTTGGAAGAGAAGTGTTTGAGAGCTGTATCAGTAAAGCCCATTTCAAATACACAAAACTTCTCGCTAAACTAAGTAATCTCTGATTAATGAGGCAAAGGAGCCCAAATTCAGTTCTAAAAGTAGGGGGAAAAACATAAAAGGAAAACTGTGGAGAGCAGATAAAACTGACAGGGTATGTCATTCTTTCTTATAATAAATCCAAGTAATTGCAAGGAAATTTCATTTTCCTCCCCATTTAACCCCAGTTATTTTCGTTTAATCACAGAAATGTTGCTATTTCCCTCCAAACCAGACTGCTTTGTATGTGAAACATCATTTCCAACATACACTTGGGTTCAGGCATGTTCCTCATCCCCTAGAACAAACACAACGAGCACAACAGCACGTCCCAGCATATGTGGCAGTGCACTGGGAGGGCTTGCAGGCTCCAGTTGAATTGGCTGGGGAGGGAACCAAGTCAAGTCATCCCAACAGGCTTCTCCCAGCTGGCATCGGAGCTAATGCCTGGGGAGCCAGGCACAACGCAGATGTAATGGGTCAGGAGTGATGTTGTCTTTCCAAGGAATCATATTTTGGTGGGTCAAGATTTGGTGACTTGGTTGGTTTTCCATTAGATGGGCTTGGTGGCATCACACCACTCCTGAGGTGTCTGATGGTTTCTTGTCACAAGAGTGTCTTGACAATTGCTTACTGCTTTTGTTGATGTCAGTTGTGTGAAATGGCATCTTCCCCTCTGGTTGTCTGCCTCATTAATAGTTTTTTTCTTTTTACTGAAGTTTTCCACAAACGAGTCATTCCTCAGAACAAGGTGGTGGTAGGGAATGATTGTCTTACAACATTAAAATATAATCTGTGAAGTGACATTTTCTTTGGCAGACTCCCACATTGGAGTCATGAAAAAATCTGGCAGAAGTCCCTTCACATCCTTATACCCCCTACCCCAGAAAAAAATAAGCAGGGAGCCTTTGAAGTATTTCATTTTTGCAATGCATACACATGCAGCGAAGCCTTCACAGTGCTTCGTGGTTAAAACCACAGC